CATTGTCCTCCCCCCTCCCTCTCTCTCTTCTCCTCCCTGCCTCATTCTCCTCTCTCTCTCTCTCTCTGCGCCAGGCGTGAGGATGTCCTGAAACAGATCAGCGTACCGGAGCCTGAGAGACGTGACTCGCTACGTCTGGTGCGCCAGGAGAGCATCCACGGGCTGGAGCAGGAGCAGAACTTCCTGTCACCGCGGGTCGAAGGTCGCATCTATATCCTCTCCGAGGAGGTCAGTCGTTGATTGATGTGTGCCCTGGTGCTTAAGTTCAGAGTAACAATAATTATAATGATAGTAATAATTATGATAATAATAATAATAATAGATTTCAGTTGTTTCTGGGGCATTCTGGTTACATGTCCGATCCATTTGACTCTTTGATGCTCTATGAATTTCAATACTGATGGTATTTCAGTTTGTAGACCTCTGGTTTCGTTTCTTATGCAGTCTCTTCTGGTGACGTTGATAGTTTTGCGAAAACATCTCATTTCGCATGCATTGATTTTCCTTTCTTGTGCCTTGTTTAGAGACCATGTTTGGCACTGGTACGGTAATGTTGATATGAAGATGCTATTGATGAGCTGGGATTTCACTTCGGTTGGGATGTTCTCCTACGAAAAAATTTGCATGAAAGCCACCGGTTTGTCCCTGTTGAGAATATCAATCATTTTCCCTTAATATCTTCAGAAACGCCACGTGATGCACTCATTCATGCCTACTGGACTGGTGCGTAACTTGAGTGTCGTGAATGAGGAGTCGTCGGCGTCGACAACCAATCTAGGTCGCTGGAACTCGGAGACAGAGGAGAACTAGAGCGTAGAAAGTCAACCTTTGGTGCACACACAGTTGTTGTTGTTTGCCAGTCTTTACTGCTAACGAACGAAAATGAAAATCTATATTATGCTCATGACATGATTGCTTAAGTCATCTTTATCTGGTTTCAGATAAGATGTATAAAAAATACAAGCGGCTTGCATTTTTGCTTTAATTGTAATCGAGTGAAGTATTCTTTATACTCGTTTGTTTTTTGGTAAGGACTGAAATAGTGATGCATTTTGTAACCATTATTAAAAATTTTGTCTCAATGCGCTATTGTCTTATTGACAGTAAAGTTATGCATTATAGTTCATCTAGTGCTATAAAAACTAGATATGTGCAATTGACTTCCAATGTGTTGAGCGATTCCCAGGGTTAAAGTGCCTGATTTGTAAGAATATGAAATTAAGAAACAAGTTAATTGTAGTAGTTTTGCTTTAAAAACTAAATGCTGTTATCAGTCAAATTGTCCCCATTTTAAAAAAGAAATAAAACCAGTTATCATAGCCTGAAAGTTTTTCTGACTTGGGCGTAAAACAGTTTTCCCAAAAGAAGTTTTTCATTGCTGGTAACATGTGGGATTTTTTTTTCCATTATTAGAAACAGCAGACATTTGTCTTTTGGAAGAATTGTCGGAAGTCAATATGAAGTAAGGGAACAGAAAGAGGACAAAACGATTGATACTGTAATAAAGAAATAGCCTCCTCCTGATCTTTTTTCTGGACTTAACAAATTGATCATGTTTTAGTGGGCTCAGTCATTTTTTTCACTCAAATTATTGTTATTCAAAAATAGATCTAGATCTCCGTTGGATACAGGGTTTGAAGAATATTTATATAACTTCTAGTGTTTTTTAATGGCCACGGGTTTTAGTTGTTGACATGCAAATATTTGCCAAAGTCGTAGCTTTTTGCATTGTTTTTTCAGCTGCTTTGTATATAATTTATGAGGACAAGCCTACTTGCATTTGTAACAAGACGTCTTTCTTTGTGCAGGAATAAGGTTTTCCCATTTTAATCTCAACTACCAGTTGATGACCATCAACATTTAGTCCCAGTGTGTTTTTATTGTAAGAAAAAGAGGTTTGAATTTGTGACTGTTGACGTCACTCAACATAGGAATTTGATAACTTTATGATGATGATATACTGTTGTAGAATTATTTTATGTGACGAACTTTGACCCGGTCTCATTGGGTCGTGTGCTCCCCTTTTGATATGACATGATGATTCTGTATGCTGTGCTTTCATTGCTCTTAACACCTCGTGACCTCAGTGCTTTCTTGTCCTACCTCCATTTTTAATAGCAGTGAAAACAGTTCATAACAAAGAGTCAGCTAAAGAAGATGTCACATTTTCAATGCTAAAAAGAAATGGAGATACGGCAAGAAAGCACTGAGGTCGCGACCTCTCATCAGTGGTTCAGAGGTCAGCTTTTATGTAAGTTTCCACAGTTCTGAACCTTTTTTTGGATTCCTGCAGTTTTTAAAATGTCATACAGATTTCGAGTTCATGAAAAAATAAGCGCTGCGGTGTCGTATTTGTTGATTGAATTTGCCCCAAGACTGAGGATGTCTTGGAGAGGAAGTACAGTGGAAACCTGATATAACAGATGGTGGGAGTAGAGAAAAAGTCCTGTTATATCAGATCCCTGTTAAATCAGACATGCAAGGGAAGTAAGCATTTGTGGACTAATCTAGCTGTATTTATTCATGGGTAGTTTCCCATGGCCTGCGCATGACACATTACGCTTGTGTGTAGCTAGGCTAAGGGCTAGATCGAGGTTTGCAGCACACCACAGCCCTCTCTCGCTTCACCCGCTGCGTGTGCTTGCAGTGACGTTACTCTCTCTCACTCTCTCTCTCTCTCTCTCGCTCTCTCTCTCGCTCTCTCTCTTATACTATACATGGTTAACGAGCCTTTGTCCCTGCTATAACCGATTGGGCTCCGATGAGGCCCTGTTATTGCCGATAACTTTTAATAGAGACAAAGAGTAGGAAAAAACGGGAATTTAAGAAATCCCTGTTATTACTGGATCCCTGTTATTACCGGGCCTGTTATATATGGTTTCCACTGTATGACTTTATCTCCCCTCCTTTTGTGTGTTTGTTACTCCCTTGTCACTTAACTTTCACTCCCTTGTACCACCTCTAATCTTCGGCACTTATATGACCTTATTGTGTTGCAAGTGCTGTAAAACTTATAAGAAAAGCAACAACCCCTTTACCCCCACCCACTCACTCAGGATACTAACCTTAGAGCAGTAGAAAGCACTGTAATATTCTGTCTGTCGTAAGCTAGCAGAACGCCTTATTCCATTTTTTACAGCCAGATTTTTTTATTTGCTGACTCGAAAGCCCGATCAGTTACTTCACTTGTGTGAAAAAATCAAAGAGAAACTGTTACTGTGAATACATTAGAATTAGAATTTCTCAAGAATGCATTTTTTAAATGGTTTGGCTGGCAAAATGTTTCTTTACCTCGAAGCTGATGTAAATTTTTTTAAAATGCGTTTTTGTCAGCTTATGACAGCTGTAGTAGACATTCCTTAATACCAGCCCCATTTTGTTTTCAGTGTATGAAGGAGCGAAGGGTTTAGGTAAGTCATCTTGCAGTGAGGTTTTTAGTTTTTTAACAAGGTGGTGGAGGAGAGGCGTCAGGAAACAATTATTTGTCTTGATTATGCATTGACTGTAGCGTTGGTGATATAATGTTTTTACCTCAGGTTCTGGAATATTTGTTTACAACTTTGTGACAAGGTTCTAGGCACAATGTTTAATTCCAGCTTAGAAGTTGATTAATTATAATGCGTTTATGTATGTGATTTAGCCATTCATAGTCTTTCACACATGTGTGTTTGTAGATTTTCGGACAGATAGTTAGGTGAATCAGGGTATACGAAGAGTTTTTTTTTTTCTTGTGTTGAGCTGCAAATGTATGAACAGACACTTTATTTGATGTACAGAGGTTTTAGAAAAATACTTTTAACCTTGTCTGCTTGCTCTTTACTTTACTTTACTTTACTTTTCTGATCCAGCGCCCGTCTGGGTTCTAGCACTTCGATCTGTCGAATGGCAAAGAATTTACAGGTTTTTATCTGGTTGCTCTCGACCTCGAAACTGAAGTTGTAGCCCCTCCTTTTGAGAATTCTATGGAAACTATTCAGACTTGTGTTTTAAACTTCAGGCTCGGCTTTTATGAACGCAGCGCAACGTGCTGCATTGTGGTGTAGTTGTTGGAGGTATTTTGCTGGTATGTAATAGGAACTCCTGTTTTTTCTTTCCTCATCCTTAATGTCATCATGTTTCCTCTACTTCCTTTGTATGTTTGTCACTCTCTTGTGAACTGCTATTTCCGGGGTGCCTTGATAGTCGAAGAAGGCTTTTTGCTGTTGAGGCTAGAGAGGTGAGCAGAGTAAGCCTGATTCCTAGTTTTGACTTCTCTGTTGACACCCACCCCTTGGTGCTCATATGACCTTATGCAGTTGCGAGTGCAGTAAAACGTTACCAAAAAAAAAAAGATTGGGACAGATAGAATGGGTATCTTTCTTGTGGTAGTGAAAGACCAAAGGAAAAGGAATGATAGGGATCAATATGGCAAATATCTTTCTAGGCTGTGGAATTTTCCCGGCTTTTTTTAATGCTGAATCTGCTCAAAGAAGAACTTTGAGCCCTTACCTGGAAGATGAAATAATTGTACTGTTTTTTTTTTAGAAGTGTTACGCTTATGGATTGCTCAGCTAAATGATTTGTGTGGACTTTCAGAGCAGATTTTGGCTCTAAAGCCTGCGTCGTGTGTTTTTCACTTATCATCTGGGAACAGGATTGTGTTTGATGAGACAGTGATGATTATTAACTTTTTTTTGTGTGTGTGTGTGCGTTAGACTAAACGTTGTTAGTCTTGTGTGCCCCTTGTAGAGACATGGACCTAGCTGGCGTCCTCTGTCTCATCAGATGTTGGCCAAGATTCCTGGTCACCTCAATGATGGGCGGGGTTCCTGCGGCCTCCTTGAATTCAAGTTGTCCTTGCAAACTCTTTGAATTTCCATTCAAGGAAAAATCTCCTTGAAAACTCCTTGAATTTAAGGAACCTCCCTGAATTTTGCCGGATCGGACTTTAACAAAATTTTTGTCGGAAAATCGAAACTACGGTCCCTTTTTGACAAGTCAGGCCTATTGGAAATAGGCTTTCAGTATGAATTTCTTGACCAAATCTTCTTGAATTTTTAAAAGTTTTCCTTGAAACCCTCCTTGAAATCTCCTTAGATTTGGTGGAGAGTTCATGGCAGGAACCCTGGGTGGAGTCAGCGGCTCAGAGCTCTCGTACAATGTTGTTAGACTAGATGTATCGATGGTGTCCAGATCAAACTGGAACATTTTGAGGTCCCCCCTCCCCTCCCAAATTTTTGTCTAATCATAGGATGTAAATCTCTACGTTATGTTTTGATATATTACCCGAGAAGAAGAAAAAAAATGCACTACTATATTCGCTCTCATGTTTTACTCTTCTACTAAATAAATGGATCAAGACTGATTTTTTTCCCTCTCTTTTTCGTAACATTTGCAGAGATTTTCCAGAATTTTCCGCTTTGCTCTGACTCCATCGATATATGTTTGGTATTGTTTATTAACACAGTCAGTCTTACCTCTGTGTAGTCATTGTGATATAGAATTAATCCATTCCATTTGTAGTTTTTATATTTACAGAAAAAGCTGTGCCATGAGAACTAGTTTTTTGCTTGTATCGTTATTACTTATTGGTTAGTGCGAACAGACAATTGTGCGTACAGGAATTAAAAAAACTTTTATTATTAAGTTTGATCGAAATACTATATATAGAAGCCATGAAGAAGACAAGTTTTTCAATTGAAACAATTGCTTTCATCCACATAGTTGCCCTTTGATCCAGTTTTAAATAATGCTTTTCAATGGTGATATTTACTCTTGCAAGAGTCAGGATGCATATATGTTAATAAATGATGCAAGAAGACATATTATTATGTGAGGCATTGTGGTGAAATCAGGTGCTCGTCATAATAACGAAATGGAAGAAACTGGCTTTTTCTGTGTGTTTTGCAATTTTTATTGAATATTTTAATTTTTTACCCAACACTCTTAAGGTCCATTTAAAAACACATTTCTGTGTGGATTTTCTCGCCTATTTTACCTTGACTTCTATTCATGATAAATGAGGTTTTTTTTTCGCAGAAAGCAAGACAAATGAACGAGCTTTAAAATGATACCATATAACTCCTCTTGTCCCAAAGACTGACGAGCACCTGATTCCTCCATTCCGTGACACATATTTTATGTTTGGTCCAATTAATTTTTACAAAATGTGAATATGGTGCTGGAAAAAATATTTTTCCCCCCATATATTTCATTGGCATTGAGCTTGTTTTCACAGAGGAGGAAATCCTACACTTTTGACAACTTTTGACTACCTTCTTGACAGCTGTTTATGGTTCTTAAGGTGCACAATGAAAGTGAATACGATGAGTCATTCTACAAAGTAGCTTACACTCACTTTCTTTTCTGTTCATATGTTATTGCGTGTGCTAAAAACACTATTATTATTACTGAATGGAATGTGAACAGGGAAGAATGTGAGAGCGCAGTGCATGTTTTCTGTTGTGGGACACAGTTGTTCCTAAGTCA